TTATTGAAATCTACAGGGTTAGAGCATTCTACTAATGCAAAATTTATTAAAATCAGAGCATTTTTAAAAAATTGTGTATACAGAGTGAACCAAATGAAGAATATAAAAATACAGAGTTNATGCAAAATTTATTAAAATCAGAGCATTTTTAAAAAATTGTGTATACAGAGTGATCCAAATGAAGAATATAAAAATACAGAGTTATTCAAATGACAAAAAAAAAAGTCTGTTGAATATCGCTACAATCCATATGTTTTTGAAATCTACATGGTTAGAGCTTTCTTATTATGCAGAAATTATTGAAATCAGAGCAATTATAAACATTTTTGTATACAGAATAATCCAAATAAATTATTTCAAAATACAGAGTGATTCAAATGACAAAAAAAAAAAAAATTGTTGAATATCGTTACAATCGATATGTTTTTGAAATCTACATGGTTAGAGTATTCTTCTAATGCAAAAATTATTAAAATCTGAGCAATTTTAAAAAACTTTGTATACAGAGTGATTCATAAGTTTGTAAATATGTATACAAATTTTTCATATGTGAATGCATACTTCATATAATTTTTATTTTAGTAAAATTATTATTCTTTATTATTTTAGAATACTATTTATTATTAGTATTATTATAGATACTGTAAAACTAATTTTTAAATTTTAACTTAAGTATTTTATTTAAATAAATTTCATGAAGATTTTATATTTAAGAGATGTAGAGGTAAAGTAATACTATATATACTATATTAATCTTTTAATGTTAAATGAAATTCCGTTGGTTTAAAAATTTTACTTGATATACTAAAAAAAATAGTTTTCAACAATTTTGTTTACATTGTAATACTTAAAGTTTTTTCCTGTGGATAATTCAAGATTTATGTATTTTAATTATGTATTTATTATATAGTTCCAACAATGTTGAGTATGTTTTACGAATCATAATAATGTCATGTTTACCATGCATTCATCTATAATATTAATAAGGCTGTTCATGAGAAAATTTACAATTGAATATAATTTAATAATTAACTATCCAAGTGGTTCATCGTGTATAATTCATATAAATATACTTAAGACATCAACTTTCTTACTTGAATTTTAAAACAGGTATATTCAATAGATTTTATTTCATCATAAACAGAAAAACATTATTTTTTAAATAATTTAATTGGCAAAAGAATTCTGAAATATGTTTAAGTCACAGTATTGGAAGGGAAAGAAGTTCGTAACCTTTATGAATCCCGTACAATGAAACAATGCTTAACTAAATATTTTTCAATGCTCAATTTATAACATTTATAGATCATAAAACCAACCCAACCCAACCAAAATTGTTGTTGGCGTTTTTGTTGTTGTTGTAGAAATGAGGTTGGTTTGGATAGTTTAGTGACACCCGTTCGCGTATCACGATTGGCAATCAGGGATAGCGATGGCTATGTATTGGTTGTGGTTGGATTGGGCTGCCAGGTCCCAAAATATTGGGCCGCAACATTTATCACCCTTCTGCTAAGGGCAACCGGGGTGGTCGGGGCCCTTGCTACCGAATCCAAATCGGGCCGCAACAAGTGCATTCCGCATATTGTATAGCGCATCATTGCAATCCATTTGGACACCTCGGTCGCAGTGGGCGCGTGCAACTGGTTCATCCAGGACTTCGGAGAGGGGTGCTTGGGCAACGTCTTCGGCCTACCGGAGGACTCGTGGAAGTGAATGAAGGGAGCTCTTGTAGGAACGTAGAGGTTGGCAGTTTGGTTGATGTTGTTGTTGTTTCCGATGCTGAAACAGTCACAAAAAAAAAAAATGTATTTAAATATCGCAGTCCGTTAGCCAGTCTAAGGTCTTGTGTACTTTAGTAATTTTTTTTCACTTTTTCATACGTGAGACATGAATTTTCCGTGAGGGAACTTGGTCCGCTAAAAAGACATATTTCCCTAGGCGTTCCGCTAATCTGACAGGACTTTGTAAAAACGTCCTAGATTGAATATTTTGTTTTGGTGTGATCGTTCGGATACGTAGTGGTAGTTATTGTGGTTTGTTATTCGCGTGCTAATCAGTCGTCGTTGACTGCGACAGGAAATACCGGCTCTAAGTGTTTTACGGCACAATCGTAAATTAAATATTAATTTAAAAAATAACAATATCACTACAAAAAAATTAGGTGTTATCACAATTATACTTTATAATAACCTTGAAATTAATATTCAGAACAACAGGTAGGCGAAAGACAACTTAATAATCATTCAAAACATTCTTTAATGCCTGTGTTCTTAAAGAAAACTACATCAAATTTAAACAAAGTTAACATGCGCAAAGTAAAATCATATCTTATTAAAAACTATATGCATGGACTTAAAAAAAAAGCTCTTTCATTTAAAAAAAATTCGGACATGAATTAGTAATTTTCCAGAATTTGCTCATTTTTCAATATTTTATTATACACTAAGATTTTATTGTACACTGTCTCCTGTCACATTTTTTCATAGTTTAGATTATAAATTTATGATAAAACAAAAGTTTAATTTTTGACTACAGAATCGAAAAATTAAAAATAGAATTTTTTAATTATTATTATTATTTTTATTATCATTTTTATTTTGTTTTCTAATAGCTACAAGTAAAGTATTTTACTGGTAATATGATTGTTATACATTTATATACTATTATTTTGTAAACCTATTTTACTCTATAGTGTCTCCTTGGCGTAAATAAATTAATATTATTTTATTTAGCGAATATACTAAAATAATCTAAGCTAGGAATATGAATTTAAAATAACACATGTGTAAAGTTTAAATAAATATTTAAAGTCACTATATATCAAATAAATTGTGCGTTATTACAATATTATACAGCTTTGTAAAGAAAAATAGCAAAAAATTATCATTCATTTGACTTTTATAACATATGTTATTCTGTAGAAATATTCAAAGTACTATTTCATTATTAACTTTAATTATTGTTTTATTTTATAAATTTCATGTTATACATTTTTTATATGAAAATGGTATAAATCATACAAATTAGTGTGTAATTAAAAAAATCATTTTACATTTAAATTGTTTTTCAGAATTCAAAATTATTATCTATTACAATTGTGGTATCTTTATTTGTACTCTCTAAAGGTAATACTATTTAAATATATTATTTAGAGGATATATCACATAATACCTTTTTTTGTCTAATTTATACTATTTAAAAAAAAATTGATTAATTTTTATTTTATACTTTTTTAATATCATGAAAAATATTTGTTAAAAATATTTTATCATAGCTTTTAATATTTTATAGCAAATTAATTATTTACCTTTTTTTATTTTGATTGCATGATTAAGGTTTATCTTGTTTTAGTAAGTAAAATGTTAACCTCCAATAAACTCCCTTACTTTAAATTCTTCCCAATTACTTTTACCATGGCATGGAAGCATAATTTTAATTTTAATTTTTATTTTTATTAATTGTCAAATTACTGATACGAGTCGGGTTGTAGATGGACGTGCGGCACTTGTTGGACTTTATAACGTGACGCATTGCACGCGGTATTATTCAGTCATAGTACTATATACACGTAGAAGGGCGACGGCTGATAAAGGTGTCATGGGTCGCGGGGCTCCATGTATCGAGAAACGACGCGGAACCGTGTCATTACACACTTTAAAATGGAAAAACATACACACTTATGCAGAATGATCCAAATGTAACTTACAACTTTAATGTATTTTAAAACAATATTAATTCAATGACGTCTTTTTAAAAATAATTATTCTCTTCATAAATTATTTTAAATGCATATTTTTAAGCTTCGATGCGAAGCTGAGAAGGTATTGGTTTTACTATGTGTTTTTTTTGTGTCTGTTACCACTTTTTCTCAGCTCTCACCGAACGGATTTCTTTCAATTTACGTCAAAAGATCACAAATCGTATCTAGTCGAAGACATTACCCTTAAAATTGAAAAAAATTCCCTCGTTCCTCGTAAATGGCGGAAACATCCAAAAAATTACAAATTTAAAAATCGCAAATTTTCGATATTTTTTCATTTTTTTTTTACTTAAAATTGCCATAACTTTTTTAAAAATGACCGAATCAATATAATTTTTTTTTATAGATACTTTAGATATTTACCTATAATTTTATATATATTTGTGAACATTTGACCCTTTAACAGCCCACAGGAAGGNATTACCTATCATTTTATATATTTTTGTGAACATTTTGACCCTTTAACAGCCCACAGGAAGGGTTTCAAAATGGTAACTTTTTTACAAAAAATTAACTTTTTCAACTTAACTTTTAAAAATGTTCTGGAAAGACTAACACTTTTATACATATCTTAAATTAAAGCCAATGTAATATACTTAAATTTGAAAAAAAAATTGACCTTTAGACTTGTTTTCATGGTGAAAATGACTATCGTATGCAAAAATATGCTATTTTTTTAAAAAAATTCTTGATATTATATTTTAAATTTTTTAACATTATGATGCTATAACTTTTTAAAAAATGTATAAATCAATTCTATTTTTTAATAATAAATACTTTATATATACTTCTTTCATTCCACATACTTTTTTTTTAAATCGGACCTTTTCCCTTTATACAAGGGGGGTGCAAACCTTTTAAAATGCGTATAGAAAGTATAACTTTTTCAACTTAACTTTTGAAAGTGTTCCGGAAAGACTGACATTTTTATATATATCTTAAATTAAAGCTTATGTAATATACTTTAATGTGAAAAAAAAAAATTTGACCTCTGGATTTGTCTTCATGGTAAAAATGACTACCGTATGCAAAAATATGCTATTTTTGTGTTAAAATTCTGGGTTTTGTATTTTATTTTATTTTAAAATACCTGACAAGGGGAGTACAGATTTTCATAAATATTATATAAATTAAAATTGATATAGTATAGATAGTTAAACTTATTTAAATTTGTTTGTTTCTTTTAAGTCGAGAAAAATAACTTTGAAATTTGAACTAGCTTAAATAGCCCAATTTTTCAAGGCCGGAAGCAACGTACGGTTGCCGAGTTGGTAAAATTTATGTTTTACACGCTTGGGGTACGAGGTTCCAACCCGCGTTTGGCAATGAATTTTTTGCATTTTTTCTTAATTCTTTTTAAGTTAGTATAAATTTTTAATCGTTTAATTTTTATCTCATTTAGATTCAATAACTTCAATTAATATCAAGGATCCCATCACTTTAGTCGCCCCTTGCAAGAAGAAATTTCTTATTCGTATTAAAATTATATTACTATATTTTAAGTTTTAGCTTCGATGCAAAGCTGAGAATATATTTTTTTGTGACTATCATTTATTTTCTCTGCTCTAACTTGACCTACTTTTTTCAACGATACGTCAAATTACTACAATTCATATCTAGTTGAAGATATTACCCTCAAAAATTGAAAAAAAATTTCAATTTATCAATTAAACAGTTAGTTATCCTTCCGTCTCCATAAAGACAATTAAAATCATTAATTTCTAATGTTTTCAAAATATTTATTAACGAATGAAGTTTGATATGATAGGTTTCAACTACAAAATTAAATCATTTTACTTTGTAATTTAATAATTTTTTTACTGTATTTGTGTGTGCTACTACTAGATTATAATATTACAATTTTTTTTTGTAACATGTTGCTATATAAATCATTTCTAAAAAAAATGATTGTTTTTTCTCCTGAATTAACAATTGATTTTTACAAATATAATCAAATTTTATAATACGCTCAATTGAGTAAATCTTTTTAACAACTTTGTTTTGATTGGTTCATTTAGTTAAAGTAATTAAAATTAATTAAGTTCTCAATATTTCAATTGTAGAATCTTTTCAAACAACAAAAGTTACGAAGAAATTATTATTATTACTTCTATTTAAGTTGTTCTATCTATTACCATAAAAATGCAAAAAAATATCTGTTATTCTGATAAATTTATAATAAATAGTAATTATAAAACTTTCTGACTGCATATTGATCTTAACGATACAATTTTTTTAATTGTCATAAAATTTTCTATTTAATGATGTCAATGTCAAACTTGCCAATTGAGTTAAAATTTATGGTAAAATAAATTATTTTTTTTTATTATAAACATTTACAACAATCAACTTTAAAGGATTAAAAAAATAGGTTAAATATGTCATTTTCCTTATTTTTAACATATTAATAATCAAAATCAGTATTAATTTTAAACAATTTTTTTTGTTCTTAATTATTTTTAGCTTTTTTTATATGTAAATACTATTTTTGAATAATATTAAAACTTAGAAGTGATAGAAAAAGTCTAATTGCACATTTGAAAACATCGCAAAAAGTTTATTTAGAATAGTATATTTTTANAGCAAAAATATACTTTAAAAAATCAACTTTTTGCATTGTTTTCAAATCTGCAATTAGACTTTATCTATCAGTTCTAATTTTTTGTATTACTACTAATTACATATAAAATAATAATTAAGAGAAAAAAAAAATTGTTTTCAAATTATTGTAATAAACAAAAAAAAAAGAAAAGGGGGTTAAGTTAAGGGGGTAAAGATAAAGCCTTGGCTGGCGCTNTAACTTTGTTAACTGTTATAACTTTATCAAAAATGACCAAATCAGTATATTTTTTTTTTATTTAGATGCATGTCTTTATCTATTATTTGTTTTTTTTTATAAATCTAACCCTTTACCTGCCCACAAGAGGGATTCAAAATAATAACTTTTTTTTTTTAGTTAAAGTAAATCATTAAAATTAATTCAGTTCTGGATATTTCAATTGTAGAATCTTTTTAAATACCAAAAATTACTTAGAAATTATTACAATGATTTCTATTTAACTGTTCTATTGNCGAAAGGTAATTGGCATAGTCCATTAAGGCTGGCGGGTACACAGGCATAAAGTACTACTACTAAAACTAGTTAATTCTAATCATAAATTATGCTTCTCCATTTAGTTCGGCACATTTAAGGCTGTTCATAAATGTAGGGCACAATAAGCTTTATTATGAATATACGATAATGTATAAGGCTATTATGCCTGTATAAATAAAATTACGCTTCTTCACTCTTTTCGGCACATTTGAGGCTGTCCAGAAATGAAGGGCACAATAATATTTAAAATTCTTATATATTACAAACTATGTCTAAATAAATAAAATTACACTTCTTCACTCTTTTCGGCACATTTGAGGCTGTCCAGAAATGAAGGGCATAATAATATTTAAAACCTTTATATATAAGTAGATATAATGTCTATTTGTCGTGAGAATATTAGGTGATAATAAAATAAATAAAAACTTGTTCCTGTGTAAAATATTAATAAATCATCTAAGACAATGTTCACCACTTAGGATGATACATAAAAAAAAAAAAAAAGTCACAGGGATAAAATATTTACTTATACTGACGCAGATTCCATGTAAGAGAATATTTAGAAGAGAGGTCGTCCGAAGTCGTCAGAGGTCCCAGAAGAAGAGTGAGCAGGAGCAAGAGCGAGAGCCTGAGCGTGAGCGTCCCTTTTTACGAGAAAAATGGCTTTTTATACGCCGGATGAAGTAAACCAGCGATCTCTATTGAAATTCCTAAGATGTTAGATCATTATTTGTGATTGGTTAATTGTGATAGAAACCCTGCTGTGGGCGTAGTTAATGAATTGTAGGGGACTGGTTTGAAACATGTGTTGATAAATAGTTATTTTTATTACCCTAAAAGGGAAACATTCCTTAGATGATTTTTGGCTTTATTCATACATATGTGATATTTAGTACATGTGTTAATAATTATACTACATTATTATTGATTTGATTTTTAATATGTTAAAAATAATCTGTCCAAATTTTCATTTTTAACCTATTTTTTTGGTTCTTTAAAGTTGATGAAAAATTTTTGTTAAAGATTTATGAAAGTTTATAGTAAAAAAAATTGAATATATTACCATAACTTTTAGCTCATTTACAAGTTTAAAATTGACATCTAGGCCAGTCAACAAAGGAAAAATAGCGGAAAAAATTCCCAACCAAATTTTGTTTTTTTAAAAGTTGAATTAAAATATGTATAATGACATACTAATAGTCCTCATTGTTTGCAATTTAACTTTTACAGCCTTGCAAAAGTTCAAAAATATGAGCTTTTTTAATTTTTTCAAATAATATTTAACTTACAAAAAAAGTTTCGTATAAAAGTTGTTTAAAAGACAATTATAAACAAAAAAATTATCTAATATTTTTTTCATTTAAACAAATATTTTTCGAGTTACATTACATTTAATATGAGTACTAAAATTTATGTTCCTTTTTTTTACGGTTACTTTTTATAATTTTATACTTACATTAGACACAATGTTATAAATGCATATGTGTGAATATGTGAGAGTATTTATTTATTGTATCACTAAAGTGTAGTGTATATTAATATACAAGCGATAGAGTAGGTAATTGATTTGACGCTATATTGTTTAAACCCATCTAAACGCTAAATTGTACATTCCTAAACAACAATCATATCATGTCAATTGCCACCGGAATTTTTAGTAATCTTTTTCTTTTTCTTTGCCTTAATCCCAACTACTTGGGGTCGGCCACGCTTATCCTAAACTTCCACTTGACACGATCTCCCACATCCTCTACGCTCACATCAGCCGTCCTCATATCGCATTTAATAACATCTCTCCATCTCATTTTTGGTCTTCCTCTACTTCTTCTTCCTTCAACATTCATTTCTATAACTGTTCTTACAGCTTCCGATTCTTCTCTCCTCATAACATGACTAAACAATCTAAGTCTATTTTCTGTCATCTTATCCACGATTGACGCAACACCTTTACTTCCTCTTATATGCTCGTTCCTTATCCTATCTTTTGTAAAATAACTGATTAATATGGCTATTTTGAAGTGTTAAAAATATATATATATACATATGTATAATTTTATACTTTTTATTTGTTTTCTTATCAATGATAAGTAATAAATAATGTGCTTTGAATATAAACTATGACGACAATAATTGTTTTTTTTTAAAGTTCAAACTAAATAAAAATTGGATTAAAGCTTATAAGCGCTATCAGTTAGATCCAAGACACTATGTATTTGATTATGAAAAATATGGAATGTTTTCATTGTATAATAAAAATTGATCACTTGTGGCTAGTTAATTAAGTAAAATTAAAACTATATTAAAAATATTATTAATTTAAAAAAACTAAAAAATATTAAAAATATTAAACTCAAAAGCCACAAAAAAATTAATGAAAAGTCGCGGATACGTATTTCGGAAACAATGTTACCATTATCAACGCTAAACACATACTGACAGTATGTGTATTTAAATACGTATCCGCGACTTTTCATTAATTTTTTTGTGGCTTTTGAGTTTAATATTTTTTAGTTTTTTTAAATTAATAATATTTTTAATATAGTTTTGTTTTCATTGGTTTAACATTATTTGACACTTCAAGTCGAACATTTTTTACTAAATGTGTTACAGCAAAATTTTACTCTATATGAGAAATATCAAATAGTAATTAATATGGTGCGGATTAGTATCTATTTATATATTAGTCACAAATAATAAAAATTGAATAATTCTCTATAGAAATATGTTACAGGACTATCTGATTATTTTAAGCTATGGTTGATGTTACATATTTTTACATAATTTACTTAAATTAAATATTTTTGTTAAATATTCAGCTACTTAAAAAATTAATAATTTATCGTCGTTTTATATTTTGTGTTGTTAGTCAAGGTCGCTATTAATCGTAGTAAGTTGCGACTCTTCACAGTCCGCAACACGCTATCGTATAATCTATGGCTAAAAATATTTTATCGTGGTAAAGTTTATTGTACATATCATATGTTGTTATCGGCGATAACTTATCGCATATTATTGTATTTCGCTGGCAGTGTGATGCATTGTTGTATACGTTTCGCCAAAAATAATTTAATTTCATTATAAGTCGTGTAAGCGTTGTATAGGTGTCCCCGTGTTTTTTTTATTTTTTTCGTATTTTTAGTTTTTTGTTACATCAATGTTTAATTGAAAATGCCGAAAGTTGTTCCTAAAAAAAGAGATCACGTAATGAAGTACATATAAGATTTTCTGGACGAAATGTTTCGTGGCGATTTAAATATTTTGTACTGTGATACATGTAATAAAGCCGTATCAACTTCTCAGCGCTTTCAAGTTACACAACACATAGGAACCGCAATTCATAAAGAAAATAAACTCGGAAAGACAAAAAAAAACAACAATTCATCACCTCATGCACTTCATTGTCCAGTAAATCAACTTTCAACAATGACTTATGCACAGCTTTTATTTAAGTAGATATACCATTGCGATAATTTAACCATTGCTGATTTAGGGGTTTTTAAATTTGCTCCTATTACTTCCGTCAACGTGGAAAGATCTTTTAGCCGCTACAAAAACAAACTTCGTCCTAATCGACTTTGATTTACCTTTAACAACCTAAAGAAGTACAAGATTGTCCATTGCTTTGTGGACGACGAAGATCCTAGCTAATATTTGATTTGAATGTATTTTTTAGGTACATTACATATTCTGTATTTTGAATGTATTTTTTTTAAGAATAAAAAGATTATTTTTTAAATATTATGTATTTTTAGTTACATATTTGGATAAAAATAAATACATATATATGTACATATTTTTTAATTTTTAATACATATTAATCCGCACCTTAGTAATTAATAATTACTATATCGAATAGCCTATTCGATATTTCCCATAACTATTCTATCATTGATTATTACTTTTATTATTATTGATTTTTTTACAAAAGGAAAAGGAAAAGTTCAAAAGAGTAAGTGTATATCATATTTAATCACTTTACACAAAGTTATTTTAGAATCATAATAAATCAATAAATGTTCAGCCACAAGAGATTTATCAACAAAGCCCGCAATATATTGTTTTTCCTATAATATATGTTCTTTTTTTTATGACTATACACGATTACTCTCTTTTATTGAGCCAAATTTACTCAACGATAAAATAAAAGATTATAAAACGTATTTAGTTGATGTTATTAACGGTAAAATTTATCTCAAACCCAGTTATGCAGAGAAATTACATTAAAATATTATAGTTATCATAAAACAGTCAATATTGATATTTTTTGTTTTTCCTCTATATTAAAATATAGAGGAAAATCATTTCAAACTAGGCGAATTATTGTGAAATTTATATTGATATATATATATATATATATATTAATTAATTAATTAATAAATCTTAACTGAATTAATTAATTTTTTAAATCTTGTTCACAGCAAATTTAGAAAAGGAAAATAATGAAATCAGTACGTATATTTGTTGCAGTCGCATCGCATTTCCGGTGTTACTGCTAGCTGGCGATCGCGGCGATTCCTTCTCACGACCAAAAGGTCGCGTCATGCGTGGTAGTCGACGTGCAGAGTGAACCGGTCACGCTGGCGCACATTATTACAGTCTCTCATTTTTTTGGATGATGTATTGGACTCATCTCAATAGACTGTTTAATATATAACATATATAAACATTAGAGTGTCCCTTATTTTTAAAATGTTGAAAATTCCTTACCCTTACCCTTAAAGATGTAGTTTTTTAGTCTTTTGCAATTAACTTGCGAATTTGTGCTTCCACAAAAATCACTGAGGCTAAATTGTTTAGCATAATTTATATCCTTACAACTTTTCTTCTAAATCCATTATTATTTTTCCATAAAAATTATAAAAAAATGTATTATTTGTTGATATTACCGAAATTGGGATATTTACAAATATTTTGTCTTATTTGGTGAGCATTTTATGATGAAGCTTAATGTTTTATACAAAAATTGTTTAAAATAAAGTTTTTTATACAGATGGTTATTAACTTATTTTTTATTTCACAGTTCATTTCATTGTTACAGATAAAATAGTTCTAAAATATTGTGATTATTAAATAAGTTACANTCTGTTTCTTTTCAAATTTTAGAATCAAAGCTTCCGTCCATCTGCCAAGTTATGTTAGTTTATGCCACCATATTTATGAGTTGGTTTTACGTGGTGTTTTTGAAACAAGGCTACCTCAAGTAACCTCTAGCTCAGATTTTTCACTTCATCATTTTTATATATGAATTAAAAATCAATATATATATACAGGGTAATAGTTAATCAATCATAATGCCTCGCTAATTATCTCTGAAAATATAAGAGTTATAAAAATTTGTTTTTTAATCATTATGGATCTTTAATGAGCTGTTTTACAAGAAAAATTAAATTTATATCATCATCTCTTATACTTGGAACTTGTATTAACTTATTATTGTGAAATTTATATTGACATATATATATTAATTAATTAATAAATCTTAACTGAACTAATTAATTCTTTAAATCTTGTTCACAGCAAATTTAGAAACGGAAAATAATGAAATCAGTACGTATATTTGTCGCAGTCGCATCGCACTTCCGGTGTTACTGCTAGCTGGCGATTCCTTCTCAGGACCAACAGGTCACGCCATGCGTGGTAGTCGACGTGCAGNGATTTTTAATTCATATATAAAAATGATGAAGTGAAAAATCTGAGCTAGAGGTTACTTGAGGTAGCCTTGTTTCAAAAACACCACGTAAAACCAACTCATAAATATGGTGGCATAAACTAACATAACTTGGCAGATGGACGGAAGCTTTGATTCTAAAATTTGAAAAGAAACAGATCTTATTAACCCTTATGTGACTGGAAAGGTACCCGGGTACCTTTTCAGTTTTTAAATTTATTTTCCTTCTAAATATTTAGTATGTATGGTTAGTCCTTCTGTGTCATCTCTAAATAGCATGTATAGTTAACAAATTTATATTTTGTATTTGAAAAGTATATAATTTATTATACTTAAAATATCGTTGTTAATTTTACACCTTATAAGGACGTAGTAGGTACCTGGGTACCTCTATATATTGTATTTAAATGTAGGTTTTATTGATACAAAAAAAAGTTAAATTACCATTGATAAATATTTTTACTGGACATCAATAAAATAGATACAAATATTAATAGGACAAAAATGTTATTTTTTACATATTTAGTAAGTATTATAACATATTTAGGTTTTTTGTTGATTGCAAGTTTCGCTAAATGATTTGTTTATTGAGTGTTCATTGCAAATAGGCTTTGAGCAAGTTGAACAAGCTTTTCGAGTTTTCCGTTGCTTATAACCCAATTCTCGACATACTAAGCAACTTCCAACTATTTGAATACGTCCTGAAGCATCACGAGGTGGTTCATTCTTAGGAATAGCAATTGTCTGTTGTATTGGCCGTCCGAGAACCATTTCCATTGAATTACGAGTATATCGATTTCCTACTACTTTAGGTATGGAGGTTCGAATTTCTATTGCAGGCATACATAACTGATTTGCAAGCTCTTTAAAAATTTTCGGCGTCGATCAGTTGTGTTAAACCTTTGATTGTGTTCCATATATATAATATATGTAGATAAAGCAGCAATATCAATCATGTTGAAAAAAAATGCAAGTGGCCAACGATTAGTTCTTCGCTTTACTGTGTATTCTGTTAACATTTTATCCATTGTATCTACTCTTCCTTTTGTCAGATTACAATATTTTATAATTTCTGTTTTAGCGGTAGCAGCTTGCATTATGTCGGCTGTCATATGCATTGCAGATAAAAGAATAACCGATTTATTTATTTTTGGAACATAAGAACAAAGAGTTAAATCTTTTCTAAATACAAAATTTGTAGAATGTAACGCTCTGGCTTTTGATGGAAGCATTTTGGGAGGCAAGAATCTTTTATTTTTTCTGACAGTACCAACCAATGTCATATTCCATGAGTTTAATGTAGTAGCCAATTGCATACTTGTAAAAAAGTTGTCTGTAGTAACATTTCGTCCAGAACCTTTATACATCGCAACTAAGTCTAGAACTGTACGTTCACCAATATATACTTGACGTTTACCATCTTGTGATTTGCCTGTGTAAATTTTACCATGCAAAGGGTAAGCATTTGCTGCATCGCAAGCCCAAAAAACCTTTATTCCATATTTTGCAGATTTAGATGGAATGTACTGTGTAAATTTTGTGTGTCCTCTGTAAGGAAATAATTGTTCGTCTACTGTTATATTTTCTGTAGGTTTATAATTTTTATGTAAGTTTTGATTAAGCATGTCCAAATATCACGAATCGGTGCAGCTTTGTCTGTTGTAATACGTATATTACGAGTGTTTACATTATCAAAACGAATAAACCTTAGCAACATTTTGAATCGATCTCGAGACATTGCAGCTCAAATGAGAGGTAACGAGTCTAATTTCCACATTTCTGATACATGTTCTTTATTAGATCTATGTACACCAAATACGAGAAAAATTACATATAATAAGATATAAAAGCGATAGACTGACGACAATGAAATAATTTATCGGAAAAGTACAGATAACTATATTGTAGGTACCCGGGTACTTACACCGTCATAAGAAGTTGTTCTTTTTTTCAGTCACATAAAAGTTAAAAATATTTTATCATCACTTCGTAATGTTTTGGATATTATTATTATATTTTTTAAGAAATTAAAACCACGCTTGTAACGTGACAAAAGATGAATTTTATGATATAGATAGATTTACTGTTTTGCTTTGCTAATGGGCGCGCGTACGTTATATCCGGCCGTGTAATCAGAAAACTGTACTGTTGCTATCAAGGTGAACGCTATACACACAATATTCTTTATCAGTTTAATAATCGTGCCCTATATGACACATACACTGGCCACCACTGTCAATGCCTGTATAATTTTAATATTGTTCATATTTTTATCTGTTTTATATTTTGTAAATTATTAAGCCAATACCCTTTCCCAAACGTAATCGTCGTCGTCGTTATGTCTCACCCGGTGTGTAAGAAAAATTTGTACTCTCTTCCCTTTGAACCACCGTCGTGGTATCTTAGCTGTGTGCGTACAGCCAACATTATTTTGTTTTTTTTTTCGTGTGTGTCGTTCATTTTAATAATGCATTAATTTAACAAGGCGTCAGCCATTTCCGGGGCCGAGATCCCCATCTTAGGATGAGTCCCATCCGGGACTGGGTATCGTATATTGTTTTTTTTATTTTTATTTAATATAATGTATTGAGCCTTTTTCTGTTGTAAATTTATTTTGTTATGAACTGTATATGGACTTTAGAATTAATATTTATAAGGTTATTGGTCAGTGGTGTGTCATGTATATTTAATACATATATATATTATTCCCGCAGTGCCCAAGTACGGTCCGTNTATTATTCCCGCAGTGCCCAAGTACGGTCCGTCCGGCCAGATTACAGAAATTATCCGCCGCGTCCGGAGTACACGGACTTGTTCCGATGCGGAAGACACTTCATGTGTAATATTTAATAGTTGTAGGTGACACGGCCACGGCGTTGTCACACGTTGACACCCCGCGGTCGTGTCAACTCCTTCTCAGCCACCGCTTAACTGTAAACCGGACCGTCACACACACGCGTTATCGTCGTGGTGTAAAGTCCAACAAATGCCTAGCGTCGTATACCCCGCCGCAATAATACGTGCAGTCAGTCTTCTTCGGGACACCTTTGACACTGTGATACGCCGTCCACCGGATCAACCAGAAAACGCCACCGTGTTTCGATTAACTTTTATTGTCTTTTGTCAACGGTTATTTCACAGTAATACTAGTGTTATTATTTATCATTTGTTCGCATATTATTTTTGTGTCGCAACTCTCTTTTCACTTCTTTTATTAAACGGCTCGACGCCAAGTAAAACTTCATCCGGTGTTACTTCATTCATCATCATCTTTTCCTTAACATAGGTTAAAATTTTTTTGTCAAAATAATTGTTTTTTTTTTCTTTTGTCCCTTTATTTACAGAGTCGTTTTTGCCTTCGGGTTTTGTCCACTATTTACTTAATTGTAATAATTTAATAAAATCCCCATAATTTTCTTAATCAACAAAAATATTTTTATTGCGTGAATATCTTCAATATTCACGTGTATCTTATTTTTTTTCCCCTTTAAATAATTCTCTCTAGTTTTAAGGTAACGGTCTTCGACATACTAAATTATGTCCACCACTGGTGACATCAAATAAACCTATTTGTTATATTTACAAGGTATCAGCGTATTATAGTCTACAACAACACTTTATATTTTAGTATATATATAATTTTTTTTAATCCACTTAGTTTCATCAAAGTATACATTATTTTATTTAATATTATTAGTTTATTATTGTTTATTTTTTTAAATCCACTTATGGTCCGGGTGTTGTTCTTTTTATGATCAAGACCCTCGCCTAAGTGGTTGGCGACCCTATTTCCTTTTTGCAAGGGAGCCACGAGGGTGGCGACTCCACAATCCGTTGCGTGGCCCAAGTCGTCACCTCTCAGAATGGTGACCATTGCCAGGATGTGTAATTTTATTACACACGAATTTTAAATTTCATTGTTTAAAAAATTCTATTAATATTTATTTTAGTAAAAATTTAACTTTTATTAATTAATTGTTTATTGTTTATAACCGGAGTGGGGGGTATTTGTCAGACGTCGGAACATTTAGTCACAAGTTCCGGGGAAAAATTTTGTTCCTTATATCGGTGATTCATAATAATTTTCCTTTTAATTTAAAATTACCATTATTTTAGTGAGATGTTGTTGTAGATTGTGTATGCTGACCTTAATTTCGTTTATAGTAAATGGCTCAAAACATTTTTTGATTTTTGTCCGTCGGACATAGTTATTTGCCGTGCCATATTTTTTAGATGTCAAGACCTATTCCCTGTGTATATATGCGTTTCACTTATAGTAGCGGTTCAGGTTGCCGATTGATCGACTGTGATTTTCTTTCCGGATTATGGAGCTTTTGAATCGTCGCTGGATATGGAGCTTTTACCGAACGGAAAACGCCATTTATTCATGACACCATCGAAGATACCAATGAAACCTTCGTTAATTAGTTTATAAGATATATTTTAGTATTATAATTGGTTCTTATATTTCTCTCTTAGGGTGTTCCCTTTACAGGATTTTTTTTTATTTTTGTTTATTATTTTTCAGCTGTCCCAAACCTAATTTTTTTTGTGAAACATCTCATTAAAGATCCATAATGATTAAAAAAAAAAAAAAAAATTATAACTCTTATATTTTTAGAGATAATTAGTGAGGCATTATGATTGATTAACTACCACCCTGTATATATATATATATATTGATTTTTAATTCAACACTTGTTAACTTAAAATAAAAAAAATGTGTATTACATTGTTTTGTTGAGAAATATACTTTTCAGTGATATCATAAGCATGTTATTTTTAATTACTTAATTAATTAACTGACTAATACTACATTATATTATACTATTCATTTTTAGATAATAAAGCAGATTTAGAAAAGGAAATTAAAGCATTTGGTACGTACATTATTTTAATGATTTTGTAACCTAATAAAATTATCATGAGTATAAGGTCATATGTATCTGTATTCAAATAGTGCGTGTCTTACATCTGTAGGTTCAGTGTTACATATACACACTTGATTATTTAGTAGAATTATAAATTGTTCCTACCAACTGTTTCCTTATTCTCAATACTACATCTGTCAATCAATGATTGGCCACACTATTAAGTACCCTTTCCCGTGCGTGATGAAGCCAGCGCAGAAAACTGTGCGGTTATTTTAAAAAAGGTCCAATACATCTTTGTCGATCTCCTCTGAATCTAGTTGCTGATCGACAATTTTCTGGAATTATGGTCGTCAAATCTAATATGGAGTAGAACATTGTATTTGGCTTGGCCATCAGAATCATGGCACCGAATCAACATCATTTCAATTTGGACATCTAAATAATTGTAATTTAGTATCTCTTTCTTTGTATTTTTTTGCACAATGTGCTCATCTAAAGTTCAATGTTTTTTTTCTTTTCATATTCTTGCACAATGTGCACCTTTAAATGAATTAATTGTTGTTTTTATTTCTTAGCTATATGGCCATGTGGTCTGTTTTTTTTTCAATAATAGTTAATGACTATATACAGGTTAACTATGAACTTTATGTGATGAGTAATGGTCAATCCGTATACTTTTCTGTCTTCAGTCCCCTCTTTCCATAAGTTGACAGTTTCTCGGGTGAAGGCAGGGTGAACATAGTGAAAATCTCATTAGGCCTTCTACGTTTATGTAGAGGTTACCTATTGACGTTGGTGACATTTCCATTAGAGTAGTCCTTATTTATACTTCGTATTTTTTTTTTTTAACAAATTTTTCCTAATAAATAAAGTGGTGTACAATACGATGTGGCCAGTGTCGCGATATTTGTCAGACAAATGGTGTACTCCGGCGGCAAAGGGGTGCTGTTACCCCCACTGATCCGACAACCCTACCCGCATAATACCATTGCGGACACTAAACTAAAGCAATCAAAGGAAAATACTCGCTCGTTGTTGGTCAAGGCTATATATCCAATTGGCATAATTAAGGATATATCTATCCTGTTAATACACAGAACACAGTGCCTCCACCAGACTGCAATGTGCTTTCCCGCTAGAGTCCTAATAGTTGGCTAAGCTGTACCTAAACGGGGCAATACTGGCCATATATAATTTATATCCCACAAAAAGGGCAGTTAGCAGCAAATAAATATTGACCCTCAACTAACATCGATAACAAGCATTTATTTCTATTTAATATTATTTAAATATAACCTGACTAGATCTCTAGAGATGTTGGTGGTATATAAGTTAGGTGAGCGACGGCGGCGAGTGTACACAACCCGAAATAATAATAATAAGTTAACAATAATAGTATTTAATTTAGTAACCACAATAATACCGCGCGAGTGAAGTCATCAAATCAATAAATGTAAGTTGCCGCAACTGTGATAAAATGTCGACAGATTTCGTTATGTTTTTAATTAATTGAAGGACAGTGTGTAATCGGTTTGTTTACACCCGCACGCTACATACTCATAGTTAAGCTGTAGGGTTGTTTGTGCTGATCAGGTACTAGTATAGTTGTTAATTGTTGATGTTGGCGATGGATGAATAATCTGTTCGTAACAGAATAATCCAACAATTTCTTGAAATTAAACACTATCTACACATTTCATCATACTTGCCCCAACTATGTCACGTCAACACTGTGCTACCAATTTAGTTATAAGTCTAAACAATTTTCTACACATAATATTTATTTTTTTTTATAATTTTGGTACACACGTTTCTGAAGTATAATAAAATTTTTAACTGGATTCATTTTTACTTAGTCAGTGACCGCCGCTAAGGTTAGACGTTATTTATGAGCTCGACTATTTTCGTTTGTTAAAATAATTGGATCAAAAAATTTGTATCAAATTTTACATAAAAAATGAAATAAAGTGTAAAAAATTGTGTGAAATGTTAACATAGATCTATTGAGTGAGTTTGTCATGAGCAAAACAAGGGTTTACGAGTCGTATAAGCGTTTCCGAGATGGTCATGAAGATGTTGAAGATGAGGAATGAGGCGTTCTGCCTCGGACGCCCCAACACAACAACAAATGATGAAAACGTAAAAAAAGTGAAAGAAATGATTATGAACGATAGCTGAATCATAATTAGAGAAGACGCTGATGATGCTGAAATATCAACTGGTTCACGCCATGAAATTTTTTCAAAATGTTTTGGGTATAAAATGCGTAGTAGCAAAATTTGTTCTAAAGTTGATGAATTTTGAAAAAAACAGGTGCGAATGGAAGTTCGAGGAGTCACTTAATGAAGTCAAAGACGATGCAGAATTATTGAAACGTGTTTTAAAAGGAGACGAAACATAAGTTTATGGATACAACGTCGAAACTAAAGCTTAATCGTCCCAGTGCCGCCGGGGATTGACGGCCGGTTATAGAAAGTGTACCGGAAATCATGTGAAAAAAAGAGGCACGGTACGGGATTAGAACCCGCGACCCAAGGCGTCGTAAAGACAAACCTTACCACTAGGCCACTGTGCACTTATGATTCAGTTCCCGATACATTTACATTTAGGTTGATAACGTGATGTGCGGCTGAGGGAAACACGGTACCATGTCAGATTTTAATGGCATAGTGTATCTTGAATTCTTGCCACTAGGTCAAATGGTCAATATGGAATACTACCTAAAAGTTTAATGCCATTTGCGTGAAGCAATCCAAAAAATTCCCGGATGTATGGCGAAAAATTTCATTGTTATTGCACCACGATTTCTAAAAATTAAGATAACCTTAATTATTGAAAGTGTACCAGAAATCCTATGAAAAAATGAAGTAAGGTACGGGATTACAACTTGTGACTCAAGGTTTCTAATTTGTTTATTGACTGGTATAATTTAAAATAAAAATTATAATTTTGTGCAAAAAAAATTTATATGAATTTATTTATCTTTCTTTTTTGAGTAAATTGTAAGCTATACTCATATACAATAGTTTAACTTTATAAGAAACCCAAGAAGGGTTCACCGTAGGCTGAGGTAAAGCCGGAGCACCATGGATTTTGAAACCTTATCCTTTGGGAAGAGGTTATAAAGAATAATTATAATTTAAGAAAACAATAATTAAAATGTATTAATTATTATGGAACAATTTTGATCACAACATAACAAAATAGAACATTAAAGAATTGTAAATAAAACCAAATTAATCAATTAAATAAAATATATGGTCCAAGCATAATAAAAGGACAATGTATGTATCATAAAAAAAAACACTAAAATAAAATATTAAAGTTAAAAGAGATAAAAAAATAAAAGTAGCAATGAGATAATGATCAAAGAGGAAAAGATATATATGCAAGATCACAAAGATTTAAGGTAACTCCTACAGTCATAAAAAATATATAAATTAAAATGTATCCAATTAATATTACTTCAGCCGATAAAAGACTGTAGTGAGACTAGCTATGATGCATGGTTCAGAGTGTTGGGCGCTCGATAAGAAAGTAAAACAGAGAGTGAGTGTAGCGGAGATGAGAATGCTAAGATAGGATAAGAAATGAGTATAAAAGAGGGAATATAGGTGTAGCGACGCTACACTGTAGTATGAATTGTAGATAAGATGAGAGAAAATACACTTAGATGGTTTGGACATGTTATGAGGAGAGAAAAACCGGAATACGTAAGAACAGTTATAAAATGAATATTGAAGGAAGAAGAGGTAGAGGAAGACCAAAACAGAGTTGGAAAGATAGTTATTAAATTTATTAATGCAAGTTCTTTAAGTGTTAAGTGGTTCTGAGACGGTAACGGGTCTTTCATGTCTGTGGTACTGAATTTTTTCTTAATTCTTTTTGAGTTTGAAAAAAATGTTTAACTTATTTGATTTTTATCTCATTTAGATTCAATAACTTCAAGGATCCCATTACTGTGGTGTCCTCTCGTGAGAAGAAATTCATATTAATGTTATTTTACTATGTGGTTTTTTTTTGTAGCTATCATTTATTTTCTCAGCTCTCACTTGACCTACTTTTTTGACAAATTTTTTTTTTAATTAAACACTATCTACAGATTTGCATCGAAACGTTTTTTATGATAGTGATTTTAACCATTGTCAGATAAAATCTATACTTGTCCCAACTATGCCACGTCCATAATGAGCCGCGACCCCACTGTGCTACTGTTTTTTTTTCTAAATACATTATGTATACTTCTTCTATTCGACATACTTTTTTTTTTAATTAGACCATTTTCCTTAATACAGGTAGTGTTTAAATTTTTAGAAATACGAATAAAAAGTAGAATTTTTTTAACTTAACTTTTAAAAATGTTCCGAAAATACTGCGAGCTTTAAATATGTAATATGTGAGCTTTAAAAAACCGGTCATTGGAATGTTAATAATTTTCATGGAAAAATCCATACTTATATCATATTAAGTATGAAAAGATTGTTTTTACTTCTGTTTTTTTATAAAACATAGCCAGCGTTTAATACCATAGAATAAATACTGAAAAATTCAAATTTTTACAAAATTTAAAATTTTACAGAAAATTAACTACCAAACATTAATGAAAATTATTTTTTAAAAACTATTTTAAGAAATGGCTATTTTGAAATTTTTTTAATTTAATATACTTTAATAACTAGGCAATTAAATCTGATTATCGTACAGATTTAAAGTAACGCCTATGTGTAGGTTATTAATTAGGTCCAGCCAATCACATTTAACTATTAATTAAGATGTGCAGTTTCTAAGATCATACTAGGGATCGCTACACGACCCTCATCTACTATAAAAACCCATTTTTTCCTATTAAAATTAGTTCTTTCGGGGATTTTAAAATACACAAAATCTGCGACACTTTACTCAAGATTCTTACTCTCTGGGAATTAGTTTTTTTTTTTAATTTGGATTTAGAATATTTTCTCAAGATAAATGACACTAGAATTTTAAAGTGGATTTTGTTTTGGTGAATCTCTTAATTTAATATGTTCATTAAACAATAAAGTTTTATTTTATCATGGAAATAAATGTCAATTAATATTTTACACCTCAAAAATTTTTTTTTTTTTAATTATTTTATATATAATAAACCCGAATCAACTCTAATTTTCTCAGTTAATGGTAGATATTAATTATATGCTAAAGGTTACAGTTATTTCAGACTTAAACTAATTTAATAACATTTTTATTGGACTAAGTGTGTTGCAACTCTATACTTATTGGGTAGCTAGCCATTTTGGTTTAATGTTGATGTTCTAACGAACATCGCGTCGGCAAACAGAGTAAAGGTTGCAATTAATGATTATTAAAGTTAGGTGTATTAGGTTAGAATATAAATAACTTAATTTAATTTTGATAAATTCCAAGTAAGTTAACAAAAAGGTAGAACTTAGATTTACGACTGGCGCGTACACGGGCATAGAGTACTACTGCTAATACTAATTAATTCTAATCAGAATATTAAGCTTTTTCATTTTATTCGGTAATGTAAGGCTTTCCACGAGTAGAGGGCACAAAAAAATTACAATCATTAAAATAAAATAAGGCAGTTATAATTGAATAAATAAAATTAGGGTTCTTCAACTTGTCTGTCACATTTAAGGCTATTCATGAATGAAGGCCATATTAATATTTAAAACTGTTGACCAAAAATAAACTATAATACCTAGATAAATATTATTATACGAAAATTTTATAAATATAATTTAACAATGCACTCTTATTTCATTATGTGAATAAGTATGCTTTTGAGAAAGTATATTTTATTGAGAGATCGACTCCAATATTTTTTATAGATTCCTCTGGCTTGGTCAAAACAAGATTTAAAAATATTTATATCTATGAAAAATATATATCAATGTAGTATTGTGGTAGCTAAATGTGTCCCGGCGTTAACGCCTCGAAGAGATGTGACACAATAATCACCAAAACAAAATTTAAACACTAAAAATATATTTGTAAGTTTCTTTGTGCTGTCTGCCGGCACGATGTTCGTTAGAATAAAGACATTAAGCTTAATAACTAGCTACCCAGTAATTATAGAGTTGCAATACACTTATTCCAATACTATTATTATTAAATTAATTTAAATCTGAAGTAATTGTAACATTTAGCTCACAATAAACATATTAATAAGTATTAATAATCACAATAAGTATATATACATATACATATATTCAATTTTAGATAATGTACCAAAAAAATTGCTTTTTCAACCTACATGTTTTGTTAATTTTTTCAAAACACAAAATTTTAAAAGTAATAACAATCTTCTTAGTCAATTTTGTCGTATTATTCATTACAGATACAGAAGAGAAAAATGATGTAGCTGGTACGTGTATTATTTTATCGAGTGACTCAAAAAATAAAGATAAATGAAAATCATATAATTTATTTCTCACAACATGAATGAAGGCCATAACAATATTTAAAACTGTTCACCAAAAATATAACTATAATATCTGAATAAATATTATTAAGCGAAAATATTTGAAATGCATATAATTTTATATTTTATTAATGTTTATCTTCTTAGTATGCCCTTATTGTCAATATCCACCTGAAGGAGAAACTATTACAGTACTATGTTGCTCACATATTTTTTGTAAAGATTGTTTTGATAAAGATAAAGCTATAAGAAATTCGATTGAAAAATGCCCAATTTGTGGTAAAAATATAGATGGTATGTTTTTCGTATTAAAATTTCATGTCAATATAAAAAACAAAGCTATGTTTTATGAAACTTCTTATTTGTAACTAATTTAAATATTATTCTATGTTCTGATACGATCGCATTTGCATGTGCCCATATCTCTGTCTCCCATAACATCGTTGTACCGGTTAATAGACATATATATATATATAATTAACACAGTGACATACAACAATGCTAACAGGAGGGCGGACTGCACACAATAAGACTTTTTGCAATTCACGGCCAATGTGCCACAATAAGATATCCTTATCGACAGTTGACATTTTACCATCTTCGCGATCACTACTTTTGCCTGATAATTAACTTAACTTCGCTACCCCATATATTATAGTGTGTGTGTATGTCGCCGTCAGCTCCCTGTTGGATTATAACATCTCTAGGTGTCCAGCAGGTTGTATTATCCATTTAATATTTCAATTTCTTAATAAATATTTCTTTATATCGTTGTTAACCTAAAGTGTTATATATATATATATTGTAGTGCGACCCTTGGTAGTTCCTCTAAGGGAATATAAATTAAATAGGAAACTTCAGTACCTAAGGTAGATATAGCCTAGCTAGCTATCCCCCGTTGGTCCCTTAGAATACTGTCGACGGACATTTAGGCTCAACCCCTAAATAGCGACGTAACAGTTCAAATCATCGATTTAGTGAATTCGTCAAAAAGATTGTTCATTTATTATTAGATTATTCTAAATTTTATTTTTTATAGGTTCTTTTTGTAAGTATACAATTATTTAATAATAATAATTTAATTTTGAAGTTTTTAGATTGTTTATAAAAAAATTTTAAAATGTTAATGTATTTATGTCAATTTGTGTATTGAAAACTAATAACTATATTTTATCATTATAGTATGTGGTCTGTGTAAGAAGAAAATAGTTACTGGAGAAATTTATAATTCAAATTGTTGTAAAACAATACATTGTACTGAGTGCTATAAAAGATTTCGCCAATATCCTATGTGCAAAGCATGTCAATTTCGGGGTAAAGATTTAGAATTTTTAATAAAAATGTGTTATAAATATATTTCTCATTAAAATTTATTTTAACTTCAAAAGAAGTATTAATTTTTCTATAATGTAGATTTTTTTCTTTTGCGTCTTTCACAACTCTTTCTATGTTCCAATCAGATTGGTTTTACTTAATTAAAAGGTGATTCTATAAACATTAGCCACTCCATATTTTCAAAATGTATTTTGAAATGTATTTCTCTGTATTTTATTACTGTGTGACTTTGATCGGTTCACGGAGTGGTTTAATTTACTAGGACTACCCCTTAATGCATCTAAATGTAAGACCATAACTTTTTCAAGAATTCAGTCACCTGTTAAATATGTTTATCATCTTGGATCTACTGAGATTTTATGTTCTAATGACTTTGTAACTGATCTAGGATTTATTCTTAGTAGTGATCTTGATCCTAGACCCACATTGATCATATTTGTTGTAAGGCCTTTAAAACTTTGGGTTTGTGTTAAGATTATGTTGAGATTTTCGATTAGGTCTATCATACAAGGTGCTTTATTGTGCACCTGTTCGCCCTATTGTTAAGTATGGTGCCGTAATTTAGGATCCGCATGAACTCAATAACTCCCTTAGACTTGAAAGGTTTCAGCTTAAATTTATGAGATATGCTTTTAGCTACGATGCGAAGTTGAGAAGGTATTAATTTTACCATGATGTGTTTATTTATTTTTTTTTTTGTGTCTGTCACTACTTTTCTCAGCTCTCACTGGACTGATTTTTCTCAACGATACGTCAAAAGATAACAAATCGTATCTTATTAAAGACAATACAATCAAAAATTGAAAATTTATCCCTCGTTCCCCGTAAACAGTGAAAATCTCCCAAAAAATTTCGATTTTTAGAACCAGAAAATTTTTACATTTTTTTCATTTTTTTTTTTCTATGATTTGACATAACTTATTAAAAAATACACAAATCAAAATAATTCTTTTAGCTTCGAACGGATTTCTTTCAACGATACGTCAAAAGATCACAAATCATTTGTAGTCGAAGACATTACCCTCAAAAATTGAAAAAATTTCATTCGTTCCCCGTAAATGGGGGAAATTTCGAAAAATTTAAAAATCACCTATCAATGTAATTTTTTTTTTATAGATGCTTGATATCTATCATTTGGTATATTTTTTTTATAATTTTAACCCATTACCTTCCCACAGGGGGGATTTAAAATTACAACTTTGTCTACTTAACTTTTGAAAGTGTTCCGGAAGGTCTGACACTTTTATATATATATATCTTAAATTAAAGGTAATTTAATGTACTTTATTATGGAAAAAAAATTTGACCTCTAGACTTGTTATCGTGGTTAAAATGGCTACCGAATGCTATTTACGTGTGAAAATTCTTGATTTTATTTTTTACATTTTTAACTTTATAATGCTATAACTTACTGAAAAGTGTATGGATCAACACAATTTTTTTATGAAAAATAATATTTTTTAATAATCCCTTTTTCATTCAGGATATTAATAAGAAAATAGCAGATCATGTAGCTTTTGGAATAATCCACCAATTTTTTAAAATTAAACATTATGTAAAAATTTGTATCGAAGCTTTTTTTTTTATAGTGATTTTAATCACTCTCAGATATCATTATACTTGATCCAACTATCCCACGTCACCACTGTGCCGCGACCCCCCTGTGCTGGGTTTTTTTAAATTTGTAATTTTTTTTGAAATTTCTGCCATTTACGGTTTTTCAATTTTTGAGGGTAATGTCTTCGATAAGATACAATTTGTGATCTTTTAACGTATCGTTAAAATATATCGGTTCGGTGATAGTTGAGAAAAAGTGGTATCAGGCACAAAAAAACATAAATGAAAAAAATACATATCATAGTAAAATTAATACCTTCTCAGCTTCGCATCAAAGCTAAAAACAAATTGGAAAAATAAATTAAAATAAAATTTACTGAACGAACAAATTTTTAGAACTTTTAAATAATTGATTATTTGTAGGGTTCTTTAAAAAGATAAATTAGGAGATAAAATCTCGTAGTTTTTTTTTTCATAACAGAACCGATTCTTGAAGTTACTTTCTAAAATCTAATATATTTTCATCCTTTGTTCCCATTGAAACGTTTATTTTTAATCACTGCCATGATTCAATGAATATGGTATTAAATATGCTGAATCCTTACTATAAAATTTATTGTACTCTTTTTTTTTTTTTTTTAGATCAAAAATATACATTAATNATTTTTTTTTCTCTTTTTTTTTTTTTTTTTAGATCAAAAATATACATTAATTCTTGACTTTATTTTCGTATTTATATACGAAAATCCTAGTGAGACAAATAATTAATATAAATATAAATAAAATTTTTCAAAGTTTTTAAAAGTTAGTTTAGTAGAATATTTAGTTTCATAATATAAAATAAAATTTTAATTACATTATTAAATTTTGCAAATATAAAAATTCAAAAATCCTAGTAAGACATAAAAAATAGAAAATTACATTTTTCAATGTTTTTAAAAGTTAATTTAGTAGAAAATTTAGTTAAATAATATGTAAAATAAACTTTTGCAAATGTTAATATCTTTATTAAAAATTTGTATTAAAAGCATATTTTTGCAATGAGTCATATCCCAAAGAGTTCATTTTATTATTATAAATTATTGATCGGTATGTACAGTGAATCAAGGTAAGTATTTGTTGATATCAAGGTTGTATATTTAAGTAAAAAATATATTATGATTGTTTTGTATCAATATTCCTTGCATTTTTCTTCTTCCTCACCTTAATCCCAACTACTTGGAGTCGATCACCCTTATCCTAAATGTAGTATAATTATTAACACATGTACTAAATATCACATATGAATAAAGCCAAAAAATAAAAGTAAACACATTTTAAACTACTTAAGAAAAATATATGTTCAGTTCACTGTCTTAAGGATATATTTAACTTCCAAAAATAAAAACCCAGCACAGGGGGGTCGCGGCACAGTTGTGACGTGGTATAGTTGGATCAAGTATAATGATATCTGACAGTGATTAAAATCACTATCAAAAATAAACGCTTCGATGCAAATCTTTAGATAGTGTTTAATTTTAAAAAAATTGGTGTTTTATTCCAAAAGCTACTTGATCTGCTGGTTCCTTA